TGTCTTTCTCAAATCAACCAACACAAATCTTTCCACAGAACATCACAAAGCAATATATTTCATACATTTACAGACATATTGAATTCTACACATTTTTGAAACCATGAATCAATCAATGTTAGACCACCATTAGAAACCTGGAAGCACTGGACGGCCGTTTTGTCCTGGTATGGGACTCCTCAGCAGTGCGCATCCACGACTCCTGCACCCCGCAGGATTCGAATCCAGGACCTTCGGTATTGTGCGCGAACGCCCTAACCGATAGACCACTGAGCCGGTATCTAACGGTGTTAATGTCTAACTTGATCATATTCACGGAGTTGCGCAACCTCATACACAGTCTTCGGTAGTTACGGTCTACACCCGAACAGGTTGAACTTCACTGGTCACGTCTTCCCACTGGAACTCGGAGAAGATTATTCACGAAGCTAGTCACTAGTGAGCACAGGTAATTTGCATTACGGGGTTGTGAAGACTGTTAAGTTACACATTTTTGAAACCATGAATCGATCAATGTTAGACCACCATTGAATTTTATAATCAATAAGAAACAACAGTCTACTAACATGCTGCAAAAATTATTTCAAACATTTTCACTGAACAATATATATTCTTCTTCTTTCTATTTCTATTGTCAAAAAAAATTAATTTCGACTAGAATGCAACTGAGATGAATAGTTGTCATTAGTTGGTTTCCTTCCATTTTGTTGCAAAATTTAAAATACAATACCAGTAATACTAATAATGCTAATCTATTTCTGTCTAATATTTCAGAAAATATTTTTTCAATTCAAGTTTTACTGTTCAATTCTATATTTAGTTTTTCTTTTCCTACTTCTTCTTCTTCACTAAAACAGGATTAAATTTTTATACTTTGACATATTTATTTTTTTCCTTTTACGCCTACATCAAACAATTTGAAGAATTGAAAAAGATCTGTTTCATAAAAATAATAATAAAAATAATAATAATAATAATAATAATATTTTCAATTAGAGTTATGGAGATGAGTGTTTTTACAAATTATTGAAATTATCAATCAATTCCTAGATCGATTCGTGTTAGACATTAATACCGTTGGATGATGGGCCAATGGTCCGAAAGTTAGGCGTTCGCGCGCAAGATTGAAGGTCATGGGTTCGAATCCAGCGAGGTGCAGGAGTTGTGGATGCACACTGCCACTGATGAGTTAGTTTCATAACAGGATGAAATGGCCGTGTTTCAGTGCTGCTAGGTTTATAATGGTGGTCTAGTAACAATGACTGATAGATGATTTCAACTGTGTAATAAAAATACTCAACTATTTGATTGAATTGGAAAAACTCTGTTTTGGTTCTGTTATGGTCAACATATCAATAAATCGATGAAACTAATACAAGAGAGTTGTTGTTGACATATTAGGCATTAATTCTTTGCCATGTTTTCAGAAATTTCTACAACGATTAGAAGTGGTGGAAAAGATTTGTAGCTCAGGTGGATGATCGTGGTGGTGGTGTTTGATTCTCTAAGCTGGGATTTTTGGTTG